TGTCCCCCTTGACTCCCGGTGTCTCCCATATCTCCTGTGTCCCCCATGTCCCCTGTGGCTCCCGGTGTCCCCCATGTCCCCTCCCTGTGTCCCCCCTGTCCCTGGTGTCCCCCGGTGTCCCCCGAGTCCCCCATGACTCCGGGTGTCCCCCGTGATTCCCAGTGTCTCCCCTGTCCCCCTTGACTCCCGGTGTCTCCCGTATCCCCTGTGACTCCGGGTGTCCCCCCTGTCCCCGGTGTCCCTGGTGTCCCCCGTGACTCCCGGTGTCCCCGCGGCAGGAGGGACGTGGGGCTGTGCGGGCTGCTCAGCGAGGTGGCCAACGCCGAGGAGGAGGGTGAGTCCGGGCACCTCGGAGACCTTTGTTTTCCGGCATCCCTCCCGTGGATCCCTTCGTTCCCATCCCCTTCCTCGGCACACCGGCACATTCCGCATCCCGGAGGGCTCTGTGCCAGAGTGGGAAAAACGGGTGCTAGGGCGGGATTTAAGCCCCGCGTGGCCCCCGCTGCCCTATGGAAGCTGCTCGCGCCGCTGGGATTTGGGTTAAATTCCCCGTCTTCCAGCTCCGTTGAACAAATCCCGCTCCCCACGCGCCCCTGGGTTCCTGTGGGATTTGGGAGCCCCTCGGCCATCCCGGCCGCTCTCCGATGGCCGTTTCCCCGCAGCGCTGCGGTGGGTGACGACCGCCTCGCGCTGGGCGCTCGCGCTGTGCGCTCGCGCGGCCGCGCTCCACGGATCCCTCTTCCCGCACCTCTCGGTGAGTTTGGGCTTCCCACCTCGTTCCCGGTGGGATGTGGGAGGGAAGGGCTCCCATCCCGGCGGCGGCTCCTGTTTTCGCGTGTGCGAAGCCCAAATCCGGCGCTAACTCGTCCCCGTTTGTCCCAAGCTGAGCAGCGAGGACATGATCGCGGAGTTCTCCCAAGCCGTGGACTGGTGAGTCCCGTTTGTCACCGTGTCACCGTCACACGGGGCCGGGACCCCCGTTCGGAGGCCTGAGCTGCTCCCGGGGCTCTCCGGCCTTGTCTCTGTGCTGCAAACCGGGATTTACGGAGCTGCTCCCGGGGCCTGGGGGACGAAAGCAGCGACGGAGGCGCCCGGGGGCTTTTAGTGCCAATAAGGGGACGTCCGGGCAACTGTTTGTCCCTTGGCTCCCCGTGGCCACCCCGCTCGCTGTGGGACGGAGCAGGTGGCCCCAGGGCCCGTTATTCCTTCCCTTCCTTCCCTAAATTTGGAAGTTTCCTCCAAGCGGCAGCCACAGGGTGTTTAAGTGGCTGCTCTGTGGGGCCCTCTGAGTAACCACCAGGAACGGGTGATTTATCCCAGAAAAAGGTCTCGCTTGGCAGCAAAAATAGGAGTTTTTAATTTCACTGGTGCTTTGGGGACAGGATGAAACTGCTCCAGCTTCCTTAGTGCCCCGCTCGGCTCGCGGTG